AGAAAATCTTACTTTCCACTTTGTTGTAACTCCCTCTTCTTTCATCTTACCCAAAACAGCTTTGATAATTATCCTGATAGTACTACCTGCCAGGAAATGGGAGGCAAATCTACCACTCTGCTGCTCTACCTAAGACTCTAGTCTAGATCCCTTTGCCCGATTAGAGTGATTTCCACAGCAAGAAAAAGAAGTAAGCAATATAGCAAGAATTGAACATCAGGTGCGCAAATGCCTATGGAGCATACCAATTACATAAACAATATTTGCAAAGAGACAATTAGTAGTTTTGCACAGCACTGCCTGAAACAACTAATTGAATTGTGACTCTGTATATACCACAGAAAGCACCTATTTATAAACAGTTCCAATAGGTGAATATTGCTATTAGGAAGTCTGGGTATACCCTTGATTTATAAATTAGCCTTAAAATAAAATGTGATATGTGAACTTAAACAAACAAAAAAAGCATTCCATAAATTTCTAATGATTTTGATTCTTTAACTTTCAGTTTTCTTTCTTCTGACCAAGTGAACCAGGCCTTTTTCATAACCAGTTGCCCAGAATCAATACATATTGATTATCTTCAACTCTAGTTCAGAACTGCAAAGGGATACAGACACAGCTCTGCTCAGCATCTATCTTTTAAGACAGCTGATGATTCCTAAAGTGGAATGCACAATCCTGGGTTAAATGCTTCAACTCCTTATATCACATATGGGCCTTAGAATAGGATTCTAAGTACTGAGCAAATAGCCAATAGAAACTTTGAGGACATGAGTCCTGCTCCAAGGGCCATGGAGCTGGAGACAGGACTTACTTAAGGGTGGTGGCCACTTTGTAAGCCTGAATTATTTGTAATTAGTTTTAAATGTGTCAATTTTTAAGAGTTGCTAATTGTATATACAATTCTGGAGTACTGGAGGCCAACCTTTTTGACAGGCATTTCACAAATTAGCCTTGTACCTTTTCTAAGTACCACTCTGATTTCTTTCCCCTGCCCAATTTGCTCTTCTGCTTTCTGCTTCCTGTCCTGTTGCCACTGTGCTTGCTGCCTTTTCCCAAATCTGTTGTTTACCACATACAGAGGCTGCCTGTGCCACTTGTAGCACCTGTGCCTCAAGGTGGCCACTCCTGTGCTAAAGGAATCATCATCATGTGGGTGAGCTGTCCACCCTTCTCCATATCAACTGCTGCTACTGCTAGGTAGCAACTTAAGGGTGGTGGCCACTTTGTAAGCCTGAATTATTTGTAATTAGTTTTAAATGTGTCAATTTTTAAGAGTTGCTAATTTATGTTACCTTAAATTGAACCTTTTTAAAAAATTTTACTGTTCTGTAGCTGGCTCTGTCAACTGGTCTGAAAAGACCAGGAATGCTACAGTAGGTTGTACTGGTTGGGGTGTGGCACTTCACATCAAAGACTGCATTGAATCAAATAGGTTAAGATTTTTCAAGTGATAAGAAAAGTACCATAGACTCTTTGTGGACAGAAATTCTGGGTTATAATAAAAAAGTATGTTTAGGGATATACCATTGACCCCCCCAGACCGGGATTGCAACAGCAAGCTAGAAATGCTAGGGTAGTTGAGAGAGGTTGTGACAGCAGACTATGCAATAATAAAGGGGAACTTCAACTATCTAGAACTCGACTGGGTCAGTCTAACATCAGGCTGAGATGCAAAGACCAATTTTGTGATGTTATAAGAGGCTCCTTCCTGGAGCATTTAGTCCTGTAACCTACAAGAAGAAAGGCCATTTGGACCTCACCCCAAGTAGTGCACAGGATTTGCTACAAGGGGTTAGTGTTCCTGAGCTGCACAGCAGTAGTTACAACAATGCATTTGGGTTTGACACCCATGTAGGAGGGGAGACAAGGAAATCTACCACTGTAGCCATTAACTTTAAACAGGGAGACTACAGCAAAATGGGGAAGTTAGTTAGAAGCTAAAAGTGGGCTCTAAGGAGGCAGCATAGGAACTGCTTAAGAATACCATATTAGAGGCACAAAGCAAAAAAAAAAAAAAAAAAGGAAAGCAGACTAAAAGAAAGGCAACCTGGTTTAATGACAGATTTGCAGAAGAAAGGCTTCTTTCAAAAAGTGGAAATCAAATCCTAATGAGAAAATAAAAAAGAGCATAAATACTGGCAAGGCACATGTAAAAGTGAAGTAAGATAAGTAAAGAGAGAATTTGATGAGAAACTTGCTAGAGACACAAATGGTAACAATAACAATTTGTCAGGTCCAAGGAGTCAGTTGCGCCTTTGGATGATCAGGGTGTAAAAGGGGCACTAAGGGATGGTAGGGCCATTGCTGAGAAACTAAATGCATTCTTTGCATTTGTCTTCACTATGGAAGATGTTAGGGAGATTCTATCACCAGATCCCCTTTTTTCTGGGGAAAAGTGAGTAGAGTCGACCCAAATTGAGGTTTCAGTAGAGGAGGTTGTACAGGAAATTACAATAGCAAACCACCAGAACCTGATGGCATTCACCCTAGGGTCCTGAAGGAGTTTAGATCAGAAATTACTGAACTTCAAAATGCAGTATGCAGCCTATCACTAAAAACAGACTTGCTACCAGAGGATTGGAGGGTTGCCAATGTGACTCATATTTTTAAAAAGCTCTGGAGGGGATGAAGGAAACTACAGGATAGTGAGCCTAAATTATGTTCCTGGAAAATGGCAGAAACAATAATAAAAAAAAAATGTTCAGCACATAGATGAACATGAGTTGCTAGGGAGGAATCAGCATGGCTTTGTCAAAGGGAAATCATGCCTCACCAACCTATTAGAATTCTTTGAGAGTGTCAATAAGCAGGTAGATCAGGGTGATCCAGTTGCCATAGTATATTTTTATTTCCAAAAAAGCCTTTGACAGTGTCCCCCATCAGAGGCTCTTAACTAAATTAGGTAGTCATGGGATTACATGGAACATCTACCTGTGGATTAGATAAATAACCCAGACTACACCTTCACTATGATGGGCTCAGATATAACCACACAAGAAAGAGAGCTGGGAGTCCTTGTGGACAGTGCACGAAAAACATCATCTCAGTGCTCACCAGCCATCAAAAATGCAAACAAAATTTAGGGATTATTAAGAATGGCATTGTAAACAAAACAGAGAGCATCATCATGCCCCTTTATAAATCCATGATGTGTGCACACCTTGCATACTGTGCCCACACCCCAAAAAGGATATAGAAGAACCAGAGAAGATTAGGGAACGGGCAAGAAGTTTGATTAGTGGTATGGAGGGGCTTCCATATGAAGAGAGTCTAATGAGGCTAGGGCTATTTAGTTTAAAAGAGAGACTTGAGGGTGGCATGATAAGGGTTTACCCAATAGTAAATGGTGGCAAGAAAGTCAGTGGGCCTTTATTATTTACTCTCTCACAATACAAGAACTACAGGTCATTAAATGAAACTAACAGGCAGTAAGTTTAAAACTAACAAAAGGAAGTTCTTTTTTTCCCACACAGCATGTAATTCAAGTGTGGAAATCATTCCCATCCAGCAAAGGTTATGGAAGCTGACAGTTTAGCCAGATTCAGGAAGAGATTGGACAAATTCTTGGAGGAAAGGGGCATCAGTAACTATTGAGCATGGGAGTTAGGGATGCAGACTTCCTAGACCTGAAATGCTGGAGGCTGCAAGTGAGAGAAAAACAGTGGAAAAAAGCCCAGTTCACTCTTCCTTTCAGCCTCTAATCTCTGCCACTGAGACACAGGATACTGGATAGGATGGACCTATGGGCTCACCCAGTAAATGGTAATTTGTATATTCTTATGTTGTTAACTATGTGCTTTAGAGAAGGAAGTCCTGGGTCTGGATAAGACGTTTATAAATGAGAGTTCTGGATTTTGTAAATATAATCATTAGTCCACCCATAATGAAAGCAACCCGGGCTCCACATCTTTGCAGTCAGTAAATGGAGATTGATCTAAACTGCTGAAAATTATGGTTGAGTAAAGCCTGGAGAGGACTAAAGGGTGATTGGAGGGAGACTAGGTTACACTCATCTCAATAAAGAGTCTGATTGAGGGATTAGGAATTGAATTAAATTCTAACTACCTATTAGCAGTTCTTATTACACTTCATGATAGAGCACCTTTCATTTTTATTAATGTTCATTCCCCTCTATGGACATCAAGAACTTTTGCAGTCTTGAAATGGGAATTATTACACAATGCCCTGGAGATGATACAAAATAAATATCCAGAAATAATATTAGCAGGTGATTTTCAAATTGGTGGCTCAGGTATCCATGATGATAGAGATGTAATAAATGAAAAATGGGGAATTCCCTCCAGTAACCTTATGTGTTAAGATATTAAATGAAGGAAGGTGATGCTTCTTGAAATTTATTGCAGAAGAGAATTTCAAAGTATTTAATGGATGGACTATAGGCTGTAACTGGGAAATTTATGTTTGTTATAATTAAAGGAGCAAGTGTGATAGACTATATACTAAAAGAACCACATATGTGGAATGAGTACAAATCATTTGAAATTCTAATGTTTGGATAGTGACCGCTTGCCTCTGAAAAATCCATTAGAATTTTGTGGGCTTTCCCCCACTTACTATATACAACTAGCCCCCAGATTAGAACTTGTTGCAAGAAGATAAGTAAATGGAATAATGATTTACGAGATAAATATATTATCCTATCAAATATACTTTCTCAGGCCCCTTGTCTCATATTCTCAAAGAAAAAGGAAGCACTGGTACCCTGATTCCTCCAACCAGCTTAGCATTTAATCAATAAGATACAGTCATACTCCCTCTTCAACATTTTTCCTGGCTTAATGAATCTATATTTCAGAGCAACAGCTTCAATAAGTGGGGTTGGGAGCTCCAGTCATCAAGCTCATTAATCTCTCCCAGGTGTTTCAGCATTCTCTTGGAAGGTAGGAGATGTGGGTTTGAATCTTTGCCAGCAAATGTGAGAATTAAAACTAGTCTTCCTACATCCTGGGTGAGTGTTTTAACCACCAAACTACTATACAAGTTGGAGTCTCTTGTACTCATACTGTGAGGAAAAATGGGGCCTGTCACTACATTTTGTGAAGAGTTTGATTTGTTAAGCAGGCAGCAGGCACTCTCAAGTAGGTGCTACTAGACTAAGTCCCTCTGGCAACAAAGGTGAGTAATGGCAAGTTTGTGGAACTCAGTAGAATTTGGGCATAATCACTATTTGACCCTTGTGGCTATTGCTATGTTGAGAATCAAACTTAATGTAAGTAATGACAATGATATTCTCCCATAAATTGGGCGAAGATACTATAGGCCTGATTCTTCTCTAGCAGAAAGTTTATATTAGCACAATAAATAGAATTAACTGGTCTTATACCTGATTAATAATAATATAACTGGACACAATATAACATTAACTGTGGGTAAATACTTTATAATGAGATTCACATTGTTCTACAGAAAATACATTATATATGTCTTTCCAGCAGAAGCCTGGGTCATCAACAGTATATATTAAATGAGATACTTGAAAATAGATTTGAAATCTCCTGTTTTCTCTGTGTGAATCCATTGTCTATGGAATCTGGAGTTTTTCAAATTATTAACTAACTTTATGACTGTTATCAGTGATGATATATTTAAATTTAATGTAATCCTTTTTATTCCTACAGATCAACAGGGGTAGTCTATGGGCTGTACTACACATTTAAATTGAAGCTGGAAAGAAACCAGCAGTAGAGTTGTTAACATATTTTCATGGAAGATGCCGAGTAGTACACTCCTGAAACCTGGAAGGTGCTGAATTTTAACTTATTTTCAAGCATTACATTTATAAGTGCTTGGGTTTTTTATAGCCAGATAATCATTTTTATTGTGTCATAATTACTTTGCACATGCGGCTATTCTAAATATATTGCACAATTAACCAGCTAATTGCGTAATATATATAATGTGTAACAGGGACCTATACGGTGCACTTCTACCTTGCCTTCTTTGAAATTAACAGGTAAAGAATAATATAATCATGCACACACATGTCTCCCTCAGTATCTGATATTGATATATGAAATTTTGCTAACAAATATTGAGCAAACTTCTAGCCTTTGCTTTCAGAAACAAAACTAACAAAAGTCGAAGAGGTAGAAAATACAATGAAATCTTTTTGATTTAGGTGTTATGTTATAATCAGACATGTTGAAGTATGGTGTATTTCTCAAATTCAGAGATGTTTGTTGTTTTCTTACTCTTTATGGTAAATGGATGCAACTTCAGGTTTTGATTATAAATTTAGTTTTAAGAGCTCTATTGCTAGGAAAAAATGGTTTCCTTTTACTATACAGCCCTTTCTTAATTCAGGAAGGGGTGGGTTGAAATTCACTAACTAGAAATGCTCTCCACAGGCAGAAGGTGGGTGGTTAACTGCTGCTAATGTTTGTTGGAGCACTTAGTTTATTACTTTGGTGTTTGAATGCAATTGTTTCCTTTATGTCAGGGTAGGTATGTTAAAGTATCATGCTGTGATGCTAAAAGGGCTTAAGTAATGATGCTGTCAAAATGGCTGTGTCATGACATCCCCTGCTTTAAAAGCAGTTGTTGCATAAAACATTATTATCAAAATACTACATTTTCACCTAAGTGATTTACTCTCAGTATGCACATGATGTCTATATCTGCTTACTTTACTGACTAGAACAAATGTTTTGTACTGTTAGCACTGCAAAACCAGGATGGCTTTGGAAGATTGAGCTGAATTTTATTCTACCTCATGCATCAGCAGCAAACTTGTCAGATAAAAGTCAAACTGCAGAATATTTATTACTAGTGACGGTGTAAGAAACAGAGCAGATCTCAGGGTGCATTTGCATAGTAGGCAGTTAAAAATGTATCTTTTGATTTATAAATGGAATGCACGTAATCAGGAGTCATCAAGAAACAATATGTAAAACAATCCCATTATACCATAGTCACATTTCTGATATAACTATCCCTAAAGGCACTACTGTGTGTGGTTGTTGTTGTTGTTGTTGTTGTTGCTTTTGTATTTCTTTCCTGTGTCAAGTGGACTACCAGTTCTCCAAAGTAGTTTTTACCTTAGTTCCTACAGATCTTTTCTATGCAATATAATGGGATTCTGCATATTTATATTGTTTGTTCTGAACGTGTGTGTATTAAGTGAAAACATTTCTGTAATATGAACATTTTTATTGGAGTCAGGAGTTCCTGTTACAGTTACTTCATTATTTATTCCTGAATACACAGAGTTAGTAGAATGGGAACAGACCAGTACTTGATCATATTACAAAAATCACAACATATACACAAATTGTGTCTTTTTAAACCATTTTAACTTTGACAAATCACAACCGATTGCCACCAGAAAGTGGCAGTCACATCTGAGATATGGACACTTTGCTCTTCCAGTTTTCAATGTTGTAATAGATGTTATAAAGAGCTATTCCAGGGGGAAAAAAAAACATTACAAAAGAAAGCAATGAGAGAAAAATGTCTCCTCCATTTCAGATACTGTGTTTGCTACATCTCCTACTTTTATACGGCTTTGTACCTTTGTTTAGATGTAGATGTATATTTGGTCAATTTGCTCTGGATAGCATTGTATTGTAATTCCTCTTTAGAAATACCTTCTAAGGCTATAGAAGTGCTTATCTGCAAACATCAGGGGATCTATGGAAAATGTCAGGAGAAGGTTTTCCAAACTACAAAGGTTGCATTCAGACTAATGGAATGTCCCACCTCAAAAGTCCTTGACAAATGGCTGGTAATACACAGTGACTCCAGGGTCCTACAGCCTCAGGCAGTCACCATATCATTTGTTGTTCCTAAAGCGGGTTGTTAGCAGCTTGGGCCTCAAAATACAAATTACCTTGTCTTTGGACATAATCTGCAAGGCAAATAAAAAGGTCATTGATTGCATCTCTAGTCATTGTTTGTTTTGTGAGAACAGCTCCCTTCATTTTCATATTAATGTGTGTGTACATAGTGATTAATACTGTAATGTGAATGTAATATGTATAAAAGCAGGAGTGGGGGGCAGTCTGCAGAGCTGTACTTGCCTGTTAATTTGGACTACAACTCCCAGAAAGCCCCAGGGGCTGGGGGACATGGGAAAAAGAAAGAGGAAGTTTGAGGCTGGAGTAAGAGGAAGAAATTGCAGCATGCACTTGGAGCTTCGTCAGCCCTGGAAAGAGCAATACACAGTGGAGCTAAAGCTCTCATTGCCTTGGTCAGCCAGGAGTGTAGACTGAAGGAGCTAAAATCAGATTTAGGGGCAGCTGCAGGCTGCTGTGTGAGTGCTCTAGGAACTAAAAGCTGTTTTGGGGGAACACTTCTGGAAGTTCAGGGGAGAAATTTTAAGTGCTTGAGTATATGTTACTGGTGTTGATGTTTCTTTATCTTTTACCTGTTCCCTCCTTTTGGCCCATTGGCTTGTGACCCTAGGACCTATGATTTTTTTTATATAAAAGTGGTAAATCCCCATCACTTCTTGTGCCAATTTCGTGGGCTGCAGGGTTAGCACAATATGAGCAGTTGAAATAATGAAAGCATGATTTTGTATATAAAATGTGCACCTTAATATATATATATATATATATATATATATATATATATATATAAAAATTATATAATAACCTTATAAATTATATATCATACATGATGGATTATAAACGTATGTAATACACAAAAATATAAACAGTTTAAGCTTTCAAAGTCAGGCACTCAAAAGTTAGAAAATGCTAGAAATTAACTTGCCTGCATATCCTTAATTCAGTCCCCTTGCACATCTGCCTTATGAAACAGTCTTTAATTACAAGATCACATACTACTTTTTCCAAAGAGCACTGATTTCATTCTATGTACAAAATGAATGGTGCTTACCTAAGAAGTAGATGTTCAATTATTTGTTTTATTTTCATTGTTTAACATGTAGCTCTAAGCCACATTTATGGTGCCCTGTTCAAACCTCTCCCTGAAGACAAAATTTTTAATTTTCTCATGAGCTTTACTGTCATTGACAAGCACTAATGAATGCATCTTTGAAACAGGCTCGGAGCTGAAGGGATAGTATTCTTTTCATTTTACATATGGGAACCTGAGGCAAAGACAGATATTAAGGTCAGAAGCCTACACTGGTTTTGGGAGACCAGTTTGGGAGCAGACTTTTCAGAATCCTTAGCATTATATACAACTTCATGGGTGCATCCAGATGAGTCCACATGTGTGGTTTGCAGCACTTCAAAGCTGTTTGAGGCTCCACAAACTTCACATGGGGCACGTGCACCCATCACCACATTTCTGATTTGCAACACAGCATCAAAATTAACACTGTAAATCCCAGTGTAAAGAAGAAAAAAAAAAAGCTGCAAAAAAAGGGGCATGGAGCAGCGTGGCAGCAGTGTGCACTACCAGAAATGGAGTTTGGCCATCCAGAGCCACAGTTTGGCTGTTGGCCAGGCTCTGTGCAGCCAGATCAGTGCCTTTGCTGCCCTAGAAGGCCCCCAGAGTGCCAAGTAAGTCTGCAGGAGCCAGCACAGGTGCTGGCTCCAGCCTTCCCTACCCCACCCAGGATAATTTGACATGTGCCAGAGCATGCATGCAGGGGCATTCCCTGAGGCACAAAGCAGTGGCACAAATATGCACACCCCTGCATGTCTGTGCTCATCTGGATGCACCTTATAGGTCAGCAATCACAGTGATGCACCCTATAGGTCAACGTGTCCAGATGAGCGAGCACATGCCTGTTGTGGTATCTCAAAGCAGTTTAAGACTTAGCAAGAGGCATGCTAAGAATGAAAAAAAAATGATCCCCATGCTGCACATTTGCAGCACTGACTCTAAATTTGATACCGGGAAATCCCGGTATCAAAAAATAACATGCTGAGGAAAAGCGGCGCAGGGTGTGCTCCTGGAGCATTCCCTGAAGCAACCAGAAGCTGGATCCTCCAGAGAAACACTATAGGATGCAGCCAGAGTGTCTCTATGGTTGCTGTGTACCACTGCTGCTCCAGCATGCTGCCTCAGTGTGCTGGAGGATATAGGAGCGGGATAAGGTTGGCAGCGGTGGATCTGACCCAGGCTCTGTCCCAGGTAAGTAGGGATGGGGGGGGGGGACTGTGTGTGTGAGGGAACTGTGGGTGGAGGGACAGTGTGGGGGTCGGGGGACTGCTCAGGTGGGGTGGGACCCCTGCCCGGCCCCCCACATGGGGCATGGCCCCCCCTGCAGCAGTAGCAGCCATCGGGGCATCCATGGCCCGCTGCTGGCAGAGACCCCCGGTGCTGCAGCATGGGCTCAGACCATAGTGCATGGCACCAGCCTGGCCCACTGGCATGTGCCTTTGGGCAGAACTGGGCCAGATCTTGCTCCCAGAAGCCATGCACCCTCAGGCCAGTCAGCTGACAGCCAGCTGACAGCAAGAACTGGCCTGGTTATGACTGAGGCCATGCGCCAGCAGGCCGGGTTGGTGCCGGGTTGGAAGGGATTCATAGAATGTAGGTTAGAAGGGACCTCGGAAGATCATACAGTCCACCCCCCTGCATCAAGCAGGAAAGACAACTGGAGTCAAGTGACCCCAGCAAGGTGACCGTCCAGTCTCCTCTTGAAGATTTCCAGGGTAGGCGATTGCACCACCTCTGGAGGGAGCTTATTCCACAGTCTGGACACCATAGCTATGAAAAAGTTTTTTCTAATGTTGAGCTTGAAACAGTCTTCCAGGAGTTTGTGACCATTGCTCCTGGTTTTCCCCAAGGGCGCCCTGGTGAACAGTTGTTCACCAATCCCT